ACCTAAAAAGTTGCATGTCTGTTACCCTCCTTTACCTTTTCAGCATTCATTTTCATTTTCTGTTTTTAATTTTATATATCAATTTATATATATATATTATATATATGCCTTTCTTTTCGGTGCAGTTCAAATGTATTGTTTGAATTTTCATACAAAAAAAATATATAGAATTTTTAATGATTAAAATGGCGAGAAGTATTTTTTACTAAAAAATATATTAAAGTACATTAACCCGAAAATATATTGCTGATATTTTTCGGATAAAAAATATATTCCTGTATTTTACTGAAAAGTTTAGTTCATGTTATTTTTGACTATAAAAACCTATTGCTGGTATTTTTACTATAAAAATATATTACAAAAATTTTTACTATAAAAATGTATTGCTGGTATTTTACTATAAAAATGTATTGCTGGTATTTTTACTATAAAAAATATATTTCGGATTTTATTTATAAAAAATATATTGTCCTATTATTACCGAGAAGTAAAAAAAAAATATATTATTTGGTATTCTTATGTATAAAATAGACGAAAGCTTATAAAAACTATAAAAACCTTATGCAACTGAATTTATCTTTACTATAAAAATGTATTGTTGGGTTTTTTACTATAATAATGTTTTGTTAGTATCTTTACTATAAAAATAATTCTGGTATTTACTATAAAAATATATTCACTGATATATTTACTATAAATATATATATATATATATATTTTACTATAAATATATATAAACAGACGTATCTTTATATATAAACAGTTGTATCCAAAAGTATTTTTTACTATAAAATATATTTCTTTATTTTTGCTATAAAAATGGATTGATGGTAACTATAAAAAAAGAATTTTATACTTTCATAGAAATTTCGGCTTTTATTTTGGATGTTAACCATTTACATTCAGATATTGAGAACCAACAGATGACTACCACCTTTTGTCAGTTTGGACCTGGAAAGTGAGCTGAAACACGTAACTGACCTGTTTGTTGTTCCTCAGGTGTTACCAATCAGACCTTGATTTTGCTGGATGTAGTTCGGTTTGAATGATGTACAATTTGCCTCTTGATTCCTTGGAGAACATCGGACCGCAACAACAAAAAATAAACAAACGCGGTCCCGGGCGATATCCTCTTTAGATGAAAATGTCATTTTGCTGCTAAGAAGAAAAAATCGATCAGAACCTTCTGCGTTAAGTCAGTTTTGGTCAACCCAATTTGGCATGTCATCTGGATCCCAAAAAAGAAACTATTGTTGTAACGCTAACAGGCAGGATTGCGGAGTAGTGATAAAAAATCTATCCCAACAGTTCCGTTTCTTGATAACCTCCATCTTGATTGGGTCAAGTTCTGGTCTTTCACCGTTTCAAAGGAGCCTTTGAGAGCAGGAATATTCTGTCCAGATCACACGATTCAACCCAATCATGTTCCTGAGACATTGGGAAGTAAAGATGAAAATTTTGTGGGTGTTGGTACAGATGAACGACAAAGGTTTTGGAAGAATGTTTTATGGACTGACTGACAACGTTGGTGTTAAAGTCATGGGGCTCAAAAGTGAGAAACAAAGGGTTGATGATGATCCAATTGGCCGCTCATCTGTGGGCATGACTGGTCCTGTCCGTTGGATTGTTGTTATGACGATTCAGACCAGATACTCATCCATATTTATTATCGGTTGATAAAGTCTCAGAATGATTTCAGAAGTCTGTTGGTGTTGGTTTTGTCAGCCAATTTTGAGCTGTAAGAAATAAGACCAAACTTCTCGTTGTTGAAGAAGATCCGGATCTTTTTGTAAAATAGTAATGCCAACACAACTAAGATTTCATCAGGGAAAAGAATAGTTTTATATTGTTGAAAAGTCATGTCAGGGATCATAATGATTCGGATGTACATTTCATCTGTGAATTGGATTGTAATCAGAAACAGTATTAACAAACAAGAACAGAAAGCTCGATCGTAAAAAAGTTTACGCTACGGAGAACAAATTAAATTTGCAACAGTTTGAAGTGCAAGGTAGTCCAGGCTTGTTTTGTGTTCGGCAAGACTAGTTATTGTTAACCAAATAATAAATTCTCTTTGGGACCATCTTTAACTTTAATTTTTATTTAAAGGTTAACGATCTGTTGCAAATGGAAACAAATGTCACTATTTAAAAACAACTTTTGTAAATTCCACTTTTATTTAAAAATTGATTTTCATTATTGTCTCATATTCATTTTTTGAATCGAAACTCAAAATTTAGCCGTATGTCAAACTTTCTTTGAACCTGTCTATATTTATGAGATGAGATATTAACTGACTATTTACATTATCTTGATTGTCTCAAGATTTTGTCGCTATAATATAAACAACGTTTCGGTAATATAAACAACTTCTTCAGAAAAACAAAAATGTCGATGATATATTATTTCTTAAAATAGTGGGCCTCTAAAAAAAAAAAATATAAACCAAATCAGAATGGATGTCGATTACTCTACCATCTGTAATATTTGAAAAGAATACTTTCAATTAATCAGGTATCGAACTCAAACTGTTACTGGATCTAAAACGGCTTTAGAAACTTGATCTACAAATATTTCGTTGCAGTGGATATATTCTATTCATATTAATTTTTTAGTTTAAAAATCATGTCATTTTCAAATAATGGTTTGTTATGTCCATTCAAACAAAACGAAAGCAAATGTCTTCTTAACCATTTCAAAGGAGGATACAGATCCTGGAAAGTTCTAAATTTTTTGCAGAGGAAAATTGTTATTAATTTTCTTATATTTACATTATTCGGACTATTGTCATCATCTCTGTTGATTTTTTATTACAACACCAGATTTCCTATTGTTTCTTTCTCATTTCTTTATTTGTTTCGTTCTTTTGGAATTGTTGAGTCTTTCTTGATTTCACTTTATTGGGGCTTACCTTCTTTTTTTTCTTTTTTCGTTTTGCCATGACTCTTTTGGATGTTTTTTTCGTTTATTACCTGTTTTTTTCTCTTTCGTTTCCTCTCTTTCTCTGTTTATTTGAACTCAAACTTTACTTTTTGCTCTTTTTTTTCCACTGTGCCATTTCTCAGGAACTTTTCTTTACCAGATCATATCCGTCTTTTTATTCTTTCGTTGGACGAATCAATGAAGGATGGCTCTTTTTCTTTGCGACACAGAGCTTTTTTTTTTTGGTCACATTAAATTAGTTAATTCAATGCAGTTGTTCCAAAACAAGGAATTAGAAAGTAGGGCGCACTCCTGAAGACCACAACGGTGGGAGGCCGTGACGATTACAAAAGATTCAAACGGTTGAATGGCAGGATAAAGATGGCTGCATAAAAAACATGCTACAGAAGGCCATTTCATGAAATTATAGTCAGATTCAGTGCTGAAGGCCGTTTTGCAGACTCATAACATGAATCCTTAATGTCGCATTCCAATGTGCCTGGAGAAATGTCATGAAAGCAAAAAATGGAACTTCTTGGTAAAAAAAGAATAAGAAAACAAATAAACAACATTTTCTTTTTCTTCTACACTGATGTTCTTTCATCTCCAATCAACTCTTGCAAAGCTAAACGGCAAAAGTACAGACGGAATCCGGAAACATAGAAAACAGAGGTTGGCAGTGAATATGCATGAAGACAGTAGGAAAGCCATCAGGTTAAATGGATAAACGATTAGCAAAGATTCATTAAATTCCTGGATACATTAAACGAAAGATGATGTCAAAATAGTTTTCGTTTTCTTAGGTAGCCTAAAAAAACAAGACAAGGATAATTCCATATAAAGATTCATTCCGTCAAAATAAATCGTGATCTATTTACGATAGATGGCTTGTTATACATTTTCATGACGGTCGTCCTCGAGTATAGAATCCAGAGGTTGGCAGTGAATATTTCGGAGACAGTAGGAAAGCGTACTTTAGGTTCGCAGTGGATATCACAGCAGAGTGTAGTTCTTCCTTCTCCTGGTCGACTTTGGTCCTTCCGGTAGAGGAAAACAAGATGGCCGCCTTTATACACGACGGATACAGTGTTGGGCGGCTTCCGATTGGTCAACCTTCCATTGGTCGACTATAAAGGGAAATAAGTCATTTTGACTCGCTCACTAGTCATATGTGGTATATACCCAAAAAACCGTAACAAAACGAAATGAATTTATTAAACACAGTAACTAATAATAACAAAAACAAAATGTCCTTAGAAACTGGAAGAATTTAGAGAACGCTATTTTTATACTGTTAACTGAAAATTACCTCAATTACTGTCACGTGTAGTGATATTGTTTTTATTTTTATTAGACGGATTCAACCATTTTCTTTTGATTTCTTGATACTGTTGTGTATGTTTGTTTGGGAGAGTAGTAATTCTGTTAAGAAAGGTGAAATAGGGAAAAAGCCTGGGCGTAGATTAATTTTGGGTAATATTCAAGAAATCAGTTTCTTTTCTCACACTTCCCACCTGTGGAAATCCCTCCCGTTTTCTTGCTTCCCTGATAACTACACTCTTCAAAAATTTAATTACAGCACCAAACGTCATCTTCTGTCTTCTTGAATCCCGTTCATCTGTTGTCATTTCCTCAATCCTCATTATTCTCAGATGTCTGTTTCACTTTCATTCCTTGTAAACCACATTGGCACTAGTTGCATTCCCGCCGTGCTTTTTAGTTGCATTCCCTGCTTTTTGTGCCTGCCATCAACAGCGTATCATTGTCGTCACACATATTTGCTCAGAATGTCTACGTTAATAATAAATCCTAGATCTCTAGAAAAAAAAACATTGCAGATTTTTAAAGAGTGTTGGAATGGAGAAGAAAGGATCGTCATGAAAAAGGCAAATGAGAAATGATATTAAAATGGGACTGAAGATATTTAAAGCCAATAGAACGGAGGAAGAATGGGTCGTCATAAAAAATGAAAAAAGAAAGAAGTAATAATATTAAAAATAGAACGGAAGTAAATGAAAAGAACAAAAAAGAATCATCATGAAAAATGCAGACAAAATAAATGTAAAAGTAAAGGACGTTTAAACATAGCAATAAAAATGTAAGAGAAACAGAGAAGATGAAGAAGAAAGAATGAGAAAATATTGATGATTGATGATGATGATAATGATGATAATAATGATGATGATGAAGAAGAAGAAGAAGAAGAAGAAGAAGAAGAAGAAGAAGAAGAAGAAGAAGGAAAAACGGAGAATAAAAGGACGAAAGATAATGACAAGGAAAGGGAAGATAATATGGTGTAGAAAAGGAGAGATAAAATAATGACGATACAAAAAAAAAAGAAAGAACTAAGAAAGAGATGGTTTTGAATCATTCATTTTTTACGGTTTATCAACCCTTTGCAAGTTTTTTTAAATTCTTCTTCCGAGCCGCTGTTCATTACTTCACCCGTTCAGCCATGGCTAACAGAAGAGAGAAAGAATGTGATATTTTAAAAAAAGAAAGAAAGAAAGAAAGAAAGAAAGAAAGAGACAAAGAAAGAAAGAAAGAAAGAAAGAAAGAAAGAAAGAAAGAACTAAGAAAGAGATGGTTTTGAATCATTCATTTTTTTACGGTTTATCAACCCTTTGCAAGTTTTTTAAATTCTTCTTCCGAGCCGCTGTTCATTACTTCACCCGTACAGCCATGGTTAACAGAAGAGAGAAAGAATGTGATATTTTAAAGAAAGAAAGAAAGAAAGAAAGAAAGAAAGAAAGAGACAAAGAAAGAAAAAGAAGAAAAAGAACTAAGAAAAGAAAGAAAGAAAGAAAGAAAGAACTAAAGAAAGAGATGGTTTTGAATCATTCATTTTTACGGTTTATCAACCCTTTTGCAAGTTTTTTAAATTCTTCTTCCGAGCTGCTGTTCATTACTTACCCGTTCAGCCATGGCTAACAGAAGAGAGAAAAGAATGTGATATTTTTAAAGAAAAAAAAGAAAGAAAGAAAGAAAAAGACTTTTTTAAAGAAAGAAAAGACAAAAGAAAGAAAAGAAAGAAAGAAAGAAAAGAAAGAAAAGAAAGAAAGAAAGAACTAAGAAAGAGATGGTTTTGAATCATTCATTTTTTACGGTTTATCAACCCTTTTGTCTTTTTTTTAAATTCTTCTTCCGAGCCGCTGTTCATTACTTCACCCGTACAGCCATGGTTAACAGAAGAGAGAAAGAATGTGATATTTTAAAGAAAGAAAGAAAGAAAGAAAGAAAGAAAGAGACAAAGAAAGAAAGAAAGAAAGAGACAAAGAAAGAAAGAAAGAAAGAACTAAGAAAGAAAGAAAGAAAGAAAGAAAGAACTAAGAAAGAGATGGTTTTGAATCATTCATTTTTTTACGGTTTATCAACCCTTTGCAAGTTTTTTTAAATTCTTCTTCCGAGCCGCTGTTCATTACTTCACCCGTACAGCCATGGTTAACAGAAGAGAGAAAGAATGTGATATTTTAAAGAAAGAAAGAAAGAGACAAAGAAAGAGACAAAGAAAGAAAGAAAAAAGAAAGAAACAAAGAAACAAAGAAACAAAGAAACAAAGAAAGACAAATAATAGTTTAAATTAAAAAAAAAAAAAGAACTTTGTATCAAATCCTGGACTATAAAAGAAGTAATAAATAGAAAGAAAGCAAAAAAGAAAGAAAAATATGTAAATGGAAAATCACGAAAGAAAGAAAGAAAGAAAGAAAGAATAGTTGAAATTGAAAAAAATTCTTGGAAAAAGAAAGAAAGAAAACGAAAATTAAACGCGGAAAAGATCGCCGGGATATAAATAAAAATAGAAATAAAACGATATTGATGTTGGTTGATTTTGTTCGGCGGCATATCAACACCTCTATGGGTTATTTAATGCCGAGATCTAAATATTTTGAACGTAATTGTATGCCCTCAACTGCAGATAAAATGTATTGTTGGTCATTTTACTATAAATAGGTATGGTTGGTAATGCTTTTTATATATGCTTTTTTTTTTTTTACTTTCAGAGTGTTTTGTTTTGCGTTTCACTATTTGCGCATAGCTAAGACCCTAACAGGTGCTACCACCACGGGTCAGGAAGTATATGGGAACAACAGCAATTAAGAGGCAGTTCACGCTCCTCAAAATCTCAAATCTCCAATTCAGAGGCCTTGCTGCTGGATGTGTATTTTATCGTCATACCAAGAACTGGAAAAACAGAAGAAAAAAGAATTCACTGGAGACAGAGTTTAAAGAAAGAAAGTTAAAAGAAAAAACAGAAAGAAAAATTGTGAAACAAAGAGAAAATCGAACGGGAAATTAAATAATTAAAACAGCCAATAGATTGATTGATTGTCTCGATTTTTACGGCTTTACAACCCTTTGCTGGTTATTTAAAGACAGAAAATATTTTTTAGAATGTAAGAATTTTTGATGGGGAGATAATACTGGTTTAGTGATACAAGACTTACTAATTAACTCATAGCTGAGGAGAAAAGAGGTAGAGTCATACTTTACCTAAATGTATTTGCGCGTAATTGAATAACGAACCCAATTGGAATTAGAACTCGGAACTTCGATTAACAATTTTATGCCATTATCCATCCATTTGTACATCCATACTTATTAGTATCCCCAATCAAAATTATCAATACAATAAATAAAAGAAATTTTCCTTAATTGATTACACTTTTTGAAGAAAAAAAGAGTTGCCGTAATTTACTATAAACCAATTCGGCGATCGCATTAAGTGATTTTCTTCTATGTGATTTTAATATGATTTTTTTTTTATTTACATAATCCTCAACACCACATCCACGGTGTCGCAGGGCAAACAAATGACCGCCGGTCGATAAATCTCATGCCTTCCACGCTGAAAGAGGAAGCCATTACCGATAGCGTTAATAACGTCCGTGTCCCTCGGGATTTTATTTATTCGGTTTTGTTTATTTTCTACCAGTCGCTGTGTGAAAATCGACATGTTTAAACTGGTCGCCTTCTGTCTGAATTTCTAGGTGAGAAGTTATCATTATTGACATTCAGACTAATATCCTCATCTTTGTTGTTATTATTACCTGATTGCCTTCTGTCTGAATTTCTGAGATGAGGAGTTATCATTATTTACATTCAGACTAATATCCTCATCATTGTTGTTATCACCTGAACACATTCTGCCGGAATTTCTGGGATGAGGAGTTATGACTATTTACATTGGGTACCTCCACTTTTTCGGCATAAATTTTAAGGTTTAAAATGAATTTTCAAAATGAAAAAGCATTCTTGAAGATTTCATTTTAGCTTTAATTGAAAGCTAAAGGATTAAATTTATAATTTCCAGTAAGTAAAATATTCTGGTGTATTTCAGATAGAAATTATATTCATTGGAATGTCAAATTTAATTTCAATTTCTTAAAATTTTCTTAAAAGCGCCCATTTTCTTAATTTAAAAAAAATTGTATACAAAACAAATTTATCGATTTTAAAACTTTTACAATACATATATATATATATATATATATATATATATTTCTGACACATTATTTGAGTAAAATTAGAAAATTTTAAGTTAAATTAATCTGATTTCAAAAAATCTTTATTTACTTATAGCATAAAAAGTACTATACAACTATTTGTTATTGATCGACTGTGTTTATCTGAATCGATGATTGATGATAATGATTGATTGACAAAAGCGATGACAGCTATTATGATGACTAAATTGACATAAAATTTACGAAATCTAAGTTGAAAAAAATTATTCTTTTTTTTTTGCTTTTTAACTACTCAGTAATTTTTACAAATGAACATATTTTTCCGCAATTATCGAATAATTTATTGACTTTTATTTACTTTTCGAAGATGCTTTATGCAAAAATAAAAAAATTAAAATACTATAAAAATTTTCTTAAATTAATTTCTCCATAAAGAGACAAAACTCTTAGATCACGTGACCTTTTCATAATCATGTCATGTTTCGCTTTCCATAGATGAAAAAAGGGAACAAATAAAAAAAAATAAAAAATAATTTTAAAAATAGAATAGTGTAACTAAGTTTATTAATCTTTTCAATTTTGGATTCGTAAATTTCGTTTCCATTTAATTAATATATCCAATCCTGGAAATAGCCCAATACAGAATTTTACACGATTTTTAAACTATTATAAATTATTATAATTAAAATTTTAAAAGAAAATGAAAAAATTCTTGTAAAATTCATTATTAATCCGAAAAATTTTATTTCTTCAGACAGCAATGCCCTTAATATAACTTATTTACAAAAGCAATTAAAAGCTTTTCTAATTAAATAATGACATAGTTTTATTGCATTTATTATTTTTCAATTCAGAGCAGATTTTTTAAATAGCTCAAATTTGAAAAAAAATTAGGTGATTTACATTCTCCAAAAGTCAAATTTTAACGGAAAAAAAAAATTCAGGAACAAAAAAGGTTTTTTGCGAAATTTCATGAAATTAAGTAAAAATTGTAACATATTTAAAAAAATAAAAAAAATTTTCTAAAAAGTTTCAAAAATAATTTCATTTATTTGTGAATAAGTCCAGAAAATTTCATAAAAATCGGACAATTATTTGATTTTTACAAGAATTTTCAAATCAATGTGTTTTCAACGGAAATAAGGCCAAAAACGTTAATTTAGCGACCGCGATGACGTAAACAAAAGATTTTAACCAAAATTTCGAATGTGTTAGAAAGGATTAAAATCTTTCAAAAAATAATCAAACAATACTTTGGTCTTTCATGCAGATAATAACGTTAACATTTTGACAATAAAATTTTATTTTTATTAAGTTTGGGCATTTTTCATTTAGTCGGACTATTGTCTGTTTTTTGTCGCAAAATATTTGTGGACAACGTTAAGTTAAATATAATTTATAAAATTTCTTCAGGTGGTTATCATTTATGGAACCCTTTATTTCGAACTGAAAGATATGCCATCGATGGATTTTATTATTTTTTCTTCTAATTTTAAACAAAAGTTCTCGATATAAGAGCCATGGAGATTGGTTATCATGTTAACATCCTGCTAAAATTTTAAATAGAAAATTCTCCTGCAGACGAATTAAATAGTTTATTAAAAATTTTTTTTAAGTTCGAAAAAACCACCTGAATGAATTTAATTATTAAACATAATAAATTTTCATTGGTTCAAGTTAATTTTAGCAATAACTGTTAAATAATGATACATTTTAATCATTCAGAAATATAGACAAACTCTAAGTATATATATATTTATATTATATATTCTGTTTTATAAAAAAAAGTGGAGGTACTTAATTTATATTCAGACTAATATCCTCATCTTTATTGTTATTATTAACCGATCTCCTTCCGTCTAAATTTCTGGGAGCTCTCATTATTTACACTCAGTCTAACGTCCTCATCATTGTTGTTATCATTACACTCTCGTCTTCTGTCGGAAATTCCTGAACGAAAAGTTCTAATTATTTACATTGAGACTAATGTCCTCATCTTTGTTGATTTTGGCTGAAGGCCACATCACATTGAAACACCGGTTCCCGTAGTTAATTTCGAAATGGTCAGTACCTAAATGGGTAACCACTTGGTAATACTAGGTGATGTAAGTTTGGATGTGCCGGTGGTGTAATGGATAATAGCTTAGAATTGTTAATAGAAATGTCGAGTTCCAATTCCTGTTGGGTTCATTATATTCCCTTACGAGTAAATACCCTTGGAAAAGATCAACCTTTTCTCTCCCAGATATGGATTAATTAGTAGGGCTTTATGATTAAATTTTGCACTCGTCAAAATATCCACCCTTGGCCTTGATTACTGCAACTCAAATGTGGGACATTCGTTGCAAATGTTTGGTAATTGACTTTATTCTTTTTTTCAATAACACTCAGAGAGTTAATTTTTTTTTTTTTTTACTCTTCTGTCAAGTTCCTCCTATGCTTATTCTGGGGGGTGCCAGTAGAATGTGTGTATATATATATATGTCAGTTGCAGACAGTAGTATATATATATATATATATATATATATATATATATGCGAATAGAATATAGATATATATACATATATGTCATTTGCAGACAGTACTGTTTCTCTGTATCAGAGCTCCTTCGTGCGAATGAGGATCGAAACCCAACCGATTTGGCGCCATTCAGAGCTTCTACCACTGAGCTATTTTCACACGACATAGCCACACAGATAAATCTAGTGTATTGTTTTTACGAATGTAAACAAATGCCAATCAGCTGAAGTGCTCCATTGTTTTTACTGAAGAGCTTTGAATTAACGCAGGTGGATGTTGTTTGTAGAATTAGATTATCACTCAACAGGGCTCAAGCGAAATATATTTTCAAGAACTATATATATATATATATATATATATATATATATATATTGGGATATTACATTCAAGGGTATATGTTACTGCTACATCAATGCATCCATGTTTCGACTTTAACATCTCATCCATAGGTAGTAAGTGAAGGTTATTACAATTGGAATATTTATTTTAACATCATCTTTTGCAAAAGGAAAAAAAAGAAAATAAGAAAAGCAAGAGAGCAAGAAAGGTATAAAATATAGTTACCTGTAAACGATAAAGAAAGACACAAGATATAGTCCAAAAAAGAAAAGAGAGAAAAGAAAGTTAAGATGTAGTGGCTTCCCAGAGAGAAAAATGAAGAAAGATATAAAATATGGTTACCTCTAAAAGAAAAAGAAAGAAAGAAAGACACAAGATATAGTCTAAAAAGAAAAGAAAGAAAAGAAAGATAAGATATAGTCGCTTCACAGAATGAAAAAAAGAAAGAAACACATGAAACAGAGTTACTTTTAAAAGAAAAAGAAAGAAAGACACAAGTTATAGTCTAAAAAGAAAAGAAAGAAAGAAAGAAAGGAGAGCGAGAAGGAAAGAAAGACAAGATCAAATCCCCTCTCCAAAGAAAAAGAAGAGAGGAAGATATAGACATATATAAGAAGTTAAACAAGAAAGAAAGAAAAAAGAAAGAAAGAAAGAAAGACAAGATTAATCCCCCCCTCCAAGAAGATATAGACATATATAAGAAGTTAAACAAGATATGTTGATAATGGGACGACCATTGTCAATGATTCCTGGAGAGCCAAATTTGAATGTTCACATACTCTGAGAGAAATGTCGTTAAAATCACTATATAATAATTCTTTCTGGGTGCCTCGAGCTGGGCTATTTGTTAAAGTGTTCGTCTGTTTGACCGTGAGCATTGAATTCGATCTACATGTTCCTCAGGTTTTTTATCCTTAAGGCCTTGTGTCAAACGATACTGCTTCAATATTTTGTGGCGCGCCAAATCCTAACTCCACATTCCTCATTGCGCTTAAATTGCAAAGGGTCAAGATCATGGATTGTGATGTCTATAAAAGGGGAATCTTCGAGGGAAATCGTCAAGTCAGCAACTTCAGTCTGGTTTCAATGTATGTACCGTATAGGAGCTTCTAATCACTATCCTTCTTAATTGGTCTTTAGTGGTCAACTGATCGGAATAAGCAGGTCTTCCTTTTTGTTTTTGGCTTCGCCCACCTTCCATATTTCGTTTCAGGCGACTTGAAAATATCAACCTCCTCTGATATATGCGATGAATATGACGAATTGGCGTCGCTCAAATGTTGGAAAGAGAAAATATCAGAGGTGCAAGAAAGTGAAGAAAAGAAAAGAAAAGAAAAGAAAAGAAAAGAAAAATGAATGAATAAAATGATTTGGAAAAAGGACAGGGAAAGAGATGGAAAACAGAAAATAAAATTACAAAAAGAATGACAGTTTAGAAGGATTAAAAAGACGGAAAGAAAAATAAGAAATAAAAAAGGTGTGCGGCAAAAGAAAAAAAAGGAGACAAAAACACATAATAAAGATTTGAATTGAAAAAAGAAAAAAGAGAGAAAAAGAAATAGAGAAAGAAAAAGAAAGAAAAAACATTTAAAGAAATAGAAGAAAAAAACCCAAAAGTAAACGAAAAAAGAAAGAAAAAGAAAATTAATTAAATGAGTAGAAATAGAAAGATTGTGGAAATTAAATAAAAAAAGAAGATTTGTAAAATAAAATATTTCAAGAAAGAAAAGAAAGAAAGAAAAAAGAAAGAAAGAAAGAAATTGAACTAAAAGAAATAAACTTAAATAGAAAGAATGAAAGAAAGAAAGATAGAAAGCACTGAATCATAAGTAAGGAAAGTTCAATATAACGGAAGAAAGAAATTGAATCATACAAAGAAAGAATGAATGAATGAATGAATGAATGAATGAATGAATGAAAGGCTATAACAGAGAACTGAATCGAAGAAAGAAAGGAAACTTCATTAAATTGAAAGAAAGAAAGAAGGAAAGAAAAAAGAAAGAAAGAATGAATGAAAGACTATAAATAAGAACTGAATCGAAGAAAGAAAGGAAACGTCATTAAAAGGAAAAAAAAGAAAAGAAGGAAGGAAGGAAGGAAGGAAGGAAGGAAGGAATTGAATCTTCAATAAAAAGAAAGAATGGAAGAAATTGAACTATAAGAAAGAAACTTCAATAGAAAGAAAGAAAGAAAGAAAGAAAGAATGGATGAATGAATGAATTGAACCATGAGAAAGGAAACATCAATATAAATATAGAAATTGAATCATAATGAAGAAATGAGTCTTCAATAGAAAGAAAGAAAGAAAGAAAGAAAGAAAGAAAGAAAGAAAGAAAGAAAGAAAGAATATCATAGAAAATTGGATCGAAGAAAGAAAGAAAGAAAGAAAGAAAGAAAGAAAGAAAGAAAGAAAGAAAGAAAGAAAGAAAAAGCGTGGGAGTGTGGAAGGAAATAACTCCGGATTCACATAGAGTTGCACTCAATTGATAGAGAAATATGAGGAAAGCGTTCGTATTTGTATAACGATAGTTCTTCGCCACAAAACCGCGAAAACGAAACCAGGGAAATCTGAGAACGAGGCTTGCGGACCTTGATGCGGTATGAGTTACAAATTGGCATATTACACACTTAATACGTTGAATTTTCGCCAAAGGGTTTGTAGCGGGTGGAAAAGGCTTTCAAATTGAAAATATATGAACTTAATCAGGATAATAGAAAAAATGGATCAAAATAATTTTATCAGTGAACAACCAGTTTCAATGTTATGTTGAAGGGCAAAAATATTTCAGCGAATGACTTTCGGTGACTATAAAAATGAAAGTGCGTACACGAGATTAAGGTTTTTGTATTTGGAGAAGCTGAGATTGAATGGTGAAGTCGGGAGAAACGTGGAAGACAAGGGACAGATTGTGAAAACCCTGGCTTGTGATAATTTGATCATATAAACAATTCGGATATGGTAGAGAAGTAATATGCGCGTAATAGATTAGTTTCACCCGTCCCTGGTTGCCCCGGATGATGGTGGCGAGTTGCGGTAGGGGCTAAAGGTGGAGGGAGTAGGGTTTTGTCGATGCCGATTGTTTGCCACGGGGCGTTTTTCAGTCAGTGACCGGTACGGTGATGTACGGGTTGTTTTGATGATAGGACTGAAAGAAAGAATTTAGGTCTAGTCAAATCAGAATGGGAGAGGAAGTTCGATCAAGCTACACTTCCTTCTTAGAATGCTATTAATTCGTTTGACTTTTCTTTTCCCTCTCTTCTTCTTCTTCTTCTTCTTCTTCTTCTTCTTCTTCTTCTTCTTCTTCTTCTTTACAAAATTATTATTATTGTTATTAATTTTATTGTTTAGCTGTTTGGTTAAAAATTCGAAAAGCGAAACTTCGTCATCATCATCATCATCATCATCATCATTATTATTTAAAGTTTTTGTTTATTCCTCAATTCAAAAAAGCTAAATTTCATTCTTAAAATGTTATTAACTTGTTCGTCTTTTCTTTTTTTTGTTTTTCTTCTTCTTCTTCAAGAAACAAATTCTTCTTCTTCTTCTAAATTATCTCTTCATTTTCATTATCATTAAATTTTTCTTCAATTGAAAATCAAATCATAATCATCTTTTTCTTCTTCTTCTTCATTATCATCATCATCTTTTTCTTTTTCTTCATCATCATCGTCATCAAAATCAAAATCATCATCAAAATTATAATTATTATTATTATTATTAAATTTAGTTGTTTTCCGTGAAATGAACAAGATAAAAATTTGATTCTTAAAATGTTATTAAGAATCGGTTTTTTCTTTCATTTCTTCTTCTTCAATCCTCCTTCTTCTTCTTCTTCTTCTTCTTCATCATCATCAACATCTTCCTCTTGTTCATCTTCAGCTTCTTCTTCATTAAAATTTTTACCAAAGAAAAAAAAAAAATTCCATCTATTTTTGATTGTTAAATTACTCACCGTATCTACCTTCGCCGATAAGATTTAACTTGTTTGCCACGAAGGGATGATATTTTTAAAGACTGTCCAACGTCGACTTTACTAGCACACAATCAAACCTAATAAAAATAGGGGCAATCAGAGATTTTATAAATATAATGTACACTTTCTTATTTTAAAATCTAAGTAAACAGTGTAACCATAGCGAAGTCTTCTTTTATGTCTGATGTTTCCCCAGGACATAGAAGATCAAATCTCCACAACTGATATAGTCTTTTCAGCGCTAAAAGTTTTGACATTTAAAATTTTTTGATTCGATTTTTCTATCCATGAAACATAAACTGAAAATAAAAGTAAGATTATACAAAAAAAATGGCCATATGCCAGAATTATCTATTGACTAAAAGTAGAAAAAAAATTTGCATTAATGTAACTAAAACTAAGAGATAGATAAAGTATCGACCATCAAAAAAAAAAAAAAAATTGACAAAGATTATTGTTTAAGGTTGGCGGACATATATGTCTTAAATTTTTTTTTTTTTTTTTATTTTTTTGTTTTTTTTTTATAGAATTCTTTTTTTTGAAAACTCAAAAAAAAACATTTTTTTTCAATCGTTATAAGTCTCCAATTGAATAGAATTTTTATTATAAACAATTATCTTGAAAATGGATTTTTTAAAGCAATCTGAATGTAAAAAAAAATAAAAAAAGTGCAACAACAATAAAAAACACTACCTGCCAAAAAAAAAGTGAAGTTTTGTTGAAATTGGTTGAAAAAAATGAAAAAACGAAATAATGATCGAATATATAAACGAACACACACACACACAAAACAACCTGGATTTTTAATAAGTATAACTCGATATGAGTGGTCCCCCTTTCATTCTCGAAACAAACGATGTCTCTTAATCAATGTTGAAAGAAATTGATTTTGTTCAAAAAACAATTGTTTTTTTTCCCATTTTGGCATCTGTCAGAACCACCGTAAGGTAATTTTTTTGGGTAGTCCTGAAGTTTTTTGAAAAAATTTGAAAAATATAGGAAATCCGATCCAATATATAAACGAACAGACACACACACACACACACACAACACACACTTATTTTTATTTTTTTTATAGTATATTATTTATTTTTCTTTATCTTTTTCTAAAAAATTTTTGAAAATGTTCATAACAAAATTTTACTAGATGTTAAAATTCGATTTTTTACTTTTCCTCAAATTAATGGTCTTTTAGCAAAATTTAAAATAATTTTTAAATTTGGTGTTAAACAGGGTGGACATCCAATGAAATTTATAAACATTTTCTTTTTTTGAAAAATTTTTTTAATTAAATATTTCTGTTCTAAAATGCATTGATAGATAAAATTTAGGTAAATTTAAATAAATTTATTTAACAAATGTCCCTCTTGAAATTCAGTATATCCTGCAAGTGTTAATTTTCCAAACCGTCTTTCCTCATTATGTTTCTGATTTTATTTAAAAAAAAAATTGATAAATTCCTGTTTTTTTAAAACTAACTATTTAAATCACAAATCAATTAAAACATATTTTCATTATCCTTCTGTAGAGTCATATTTAAACATAAAATTTTTTTTTATGAACTTTCAATCAGAAAATTTCAAAAGCATTCACTCTTTAGAGGAATGACATTTTTAACAGTTCATTATTTCTCAAAATTCGTTTCAAAAAAATTTAAATTTAACACCGACACTAAAATTAAATATTTTATAAAAAAAAGGACAAATTTAACTTAATACCATTTTGCTGATTTAAAAAAATGTCGTTTGAAGGGTCGATTAATCAAAATTTTTTCTAATTTACTCCAAAAGAATATAATGCTGAAATTTAATTTCATCTTTTATTTGATTTTTCTATTTAACAACTACAGCCATACCCAGCTAGTCGATCAGAAAAAGCGTTCAATTAGAATGGAGCAAAAACAGCATCATGTTTAGATGTGACAGAGTCTATCTTCTTCCATTACTTTAAAGTACTTTCATTAGACATTTCGAATTAATGCAGTTACTCATACAACAGAAGTCGTCTGTGTTTATTCAATCGAACTTAGCTGAGGACATGAAGGGCTAAAACAGGCAACATCAAGATTCACTTTAAACCAGAATTATTTTGAAATTCAACTTGTCACTGTGCTACCAGGGATGTAAAAGAGGATACATTTATAAAGCAATTGTTAAGTTTGATGAAAATTGGTTGAAAGATCAATGAAAATAAGAAAGAAACCAGTAAAAATTTAATTTTTTTTCGCTATTTACGCGGGTTTTCACTATATGGGTGGACTCAATTATCAAGTTAAATGACTGTTAAACAATCAACTTATTGTTGGCTACAATTGAGTGATGTTTGTATTAGATATTTTTGAAAATTGAGGATTTTTAGTTTAAAATTTGTGTTGAAATCGATTTTTTGAAATTGATCCATTTTTTTTTCGTTAAACACAGTGGAGTAAAAAAAAAAATGAGGTATCATTGAGCTTGTCATGATGTAAGTAACCTACATACCGAGTTTGAAACGAAATCAGTGGAGAAAAAAGTTGAATTTATCTATTTTGATTTTTTATCATGATTATTTTTTTAAAAAAATTTATCGATTTTTTACGCTAAGAACCTATCTCTTTATATTGTACAATGTATATGCCAAGTTTCGGTTAAAAATCGGTTGGATGGATCTCTTATTGAAAAGGTATCACACAGACAGACAGATTTGACAGGCATTTGAAAGACACAAAGACATCCTCTGTCAAATATATATATATATATATATATATATATATATATATATAAATATTGTTCATTTATATATTATATATAAAAGGAATAATCAGGCATAGAATCAATCATTCAAATATAATGATATTATTTTCTGATAATTTTAATAAATTATTCAATAAATAGCACATTTGAAAAAAACATCTTTCGCAAAAAACAATTTTTTATTCCTTTTTAATTTTAAAAGGAAAAAAAAATATGCCAGACGATGAATAAAGGATTATTCGAAAGTTTTGCATTTAAAAAATATAAACCAAACAACCAACAACAGTTTTATAAATGAGGATCAATGGATTAACAGTATTTTAACATATATAAAATTATATACATACTAGCGATAGATGTCGATAATAATACCATTAATATTACTGATTGATTCTCGTGAAATTATTTAAAATATATATATATATATATATATATATATATATATATATATATATATATATATAAAACTACATGAGACAGAATATAAAATATTTAAATATTTGTCATGTTGTTATAGTGGGACATACCTATTCTATAGTTAATAGACTCTCCCACCTATAATAAGTAGGAGTATATTAAGAGTAACGTGTCAAAATTTTTCGGGGGGGCGGTCAGTCAGTCGATGTCGGACGACCGTTAGTCGGATACTAAAGTATCAGTGACCACAACTAGATTACTCTGCGTCAATACCTATTATATCAAGTTCCTAACGTTTTGTACGTCGAACCTATTTTAGGACCGACTTAGTACAAATACAAGCCTCCAATGTGTATTTAACTCCATAAAACGCGTTTAAACAAATTTTTTTTTAAAATGAGATATGAAAAAGCAAAAAATGGCATAAAAGCCATAGATTTTGAGGGGTTCTTTTATGGATTTGTGAAATGTTAGAAACCGGAACATTTAAAATTGAATTTTGCTAGATTTATCAGGAAGGCAGTTTAAATGTAAATTTGAAATCTAATTAGTCTATTACTGAAAAATTTCCAAGAGTTTAGGAACCATAGTGCGATATTTATTCTGCATTATTTACAGAAGATAAGGCCAACATGGAGAATAATGGAAAAAGGATGGTCTTCTAGTGTCTTAACATTAAACTTGAAAGTTGGCTCCCTGTGCCACGCCAGGAAATTTTTCTCCCCGGAATCGATCCTTCAGATCTACAAATCAACAATTCGCCCTTGCATGGAGTATTGCTCCCATATATGGTCTGGAGCCCCTTCTGTTTGCATCGGGGTTCTTGATAAGATCCAGAGGCGGATATGCAATATAATTGGCCCTGTTCTGGCATCTCGTCTACAGTCACTTTCTCACAGACGCGCCGTCTCTCTCTGTCTTTTTTTACAAATACTTTCATGGTAATTGCTCCGAGGAGCTGCATTCGCTGGTTCCCAGACTTCATGAGTTCAAGCGCTCTACGAGGCTGGCATCCCGCTCTCA